CAAAGACCCCAGGATCGAGACCAGAGCTGAAAGCAGATGCTCAACCCGTTGAGCCACCCAGGCACCCCTCCTCTCTGCCGTTTAGAGCTTTCCATTTTTACGGCATCTTAGAGCTCCTTTCTGTTTGATAGATGAGATGCTGCCTGATTTATGGATCATTGAATAAAGCCTGGTAGATCTTCAGATTTACTCGGCTGAATTTTGTGGGGATAAATCTGTTTTGAGGTAAAGGGGGAAAAAAGTATGAGCTTTGACAGTTTAAGCAATTAAATTAAATTAAAAACAAGTTGAAATAATATCTAAAGATATGTCAAATTCTTTTAATCAGTATCATGCTAAGACATGAAAAAAAAAAAACTGTAGAACTCAAAGGGCTGTCTTTACCCTTTTATTCTTGATCTATCTATCCTGGCCATCCCCCATTATGTTCATACCATACATTTAAGTGAACAGCCAGCTGGCATACTTGTTAATGTGCTATCATAGCACAATTATGACCAATAATCATCACTTCTGTAGCCACCCAGTAAAGCACAAAGACTTGAAAATTATGAATATATTATGCTTAATTTAGACATTACACTTTTGTTTGATGTATTTTCATTTGGGGATCCCTTTTTAAAAATCTGTCCAGTGAATTGTGCTTAACACAGGCTGTATTATCTTAAAATCATGACATGATGGTTTCACCTCATAATGGCCTTTATTTTGTAAATAAGTTAGAATTCTATTTCAAAACAAAAATAACAGAGCAAACTTCCTAAATAGCTACCTTTGCTTCAAAACCAAACCAAACCCCCCAACACTATAGATAACATTTCTTAAAAAGTTAATTTTGGGTTTATGAAAAATGACTTCACACCTTTTCAGAGTATTGGTTTTGCAACTAATTTTCATACTTTTATAAGGCAATGAAACACCTCACTTGAAAATGGGGGGGGGGAGGGAAACCGTTAGAAACAGACGTTCTAAAAAAAAAACATTCTAATTTTGTAACTTGGTAACGCGAGTCTTAAACTCACGTAGTTGGATACGAAAGATCAAGAAAGGTCTGTTCTTATAATCGTTTAGAATTCTGAAAAATACCATATTTGCCCTTTGACCTTAACGAATAGATTTCAATGTCCTCAGTAAATAAATACAAAGCGCCACCCCCCCCCCATCTTAAATAGCGACGCACCAAGGGCTGTGATTGCCACGAACGGCACAGTCCTTGGCAGCACTTGACCTGGTTTCAAAGCCATCGCCGGACACCTCTGGGCTAGCTCAAGTTTTTTTCTCTAATTTCATTTTTATTCACGAACACAAATTTTGCTTTCTTCGGAATGAAAGCTCTACGTTGGGTCACTCTTTTGCTTTTAATCCTGGAGGTCACATCTAACAGCCCCACGACCTCGATGGGAGTCCCACGGCTCCCGACCCCAGCCTCATGGTAAGAGGACGCCGGTCACACCGCAAGTTGTGATGACGCCGCCGTCCCTGCAACCATCCCGGGCGTCTCTCTCTCGGACGTTTTTCTTCTCGCTTCGCCAGGATGCGGGCCGCAGCCCCCACGCGCTGCTTCCACGCGCCCGTGACCTTTATGAGCGTCCCTAAGCCCTACAGAGCCACGCGAGGGCTGGGCCGACGCGTCCAGGTGAGGCGTCGGTCCAGCAGGTGAGGCCTCGGCCGCCGCCGCGCGGCTCTGCAACCGCACGTGCCCCGCCCTCGCCCCGCTCGGCGGCCCCGCACAGCCCCCTCCCCGCTCCCTGCACTCACACATGGCCGCGCACACACCCCCGCCACGCCCCCTCCCGGCCCGGCACCCCCCCCGCCACGCCCCCTTCCGCGGCCCGGCGCCCACCCCCGCCACGCCCCCTTCCGCGGCCCGGCGCCCCCCCCGCCACGGCCCGGCACCCCCCCCGCCACACCCCCTTCCCCGGCCCGGCACCCCCCCCGCCACGCCCCCTTCCCCGGCCCGGCACCCCCCCCCGCCACGCCCCCTTCCGCGGCCCGGCATCCCCCCCGCCACGCCCCCTTCCGCGGCCCGGCACCCCCCCCGCCACGCCCCCTTCCGCGGCCCGGCACCCCCCCCGCCACGCCCCCTCCGCGCCCGGCACCCCCCCCCGCCACGCCCCCTCCGCGGCCCGGCACCCCCCCCGCCACGCCCCCTTCCGCGGCCCGGCATCCCCCCCGCCACGCCCCCTTCCGCGGCCCGGCACCCCCCCCGCCACGCCCCCTTCCGCGGCCCGGCATCCCCCCCCCGCCACGCCCCCTTCCCCGGCCCGGCACCCCCCCCGCCACGCCCCCTTCCGCGGCCCGGCATCCCCCCCCGCCACGCCCCCTTCCGCGGCCCGGCATCCCCCCCCCCCGCCACGCCCCCTTCCGCGGCCCGGCACCCCCCCCCGCCACGCCCCCTTCCGCGGCCCGGCACCCCCCCCGCCACGCCCCCTTCCGCGGCCCGGCACCCCCCCCCCGCCACGCCCCCTTCCCCGGCCCGGCACCCCCCCCGCCACGCCCCCTTCCGCGGCCCGGCATCCCCCCCCGCCACGCCCCCTTCCGCGGCCCGGCACCCCCCCCCCCGCCCCACCCGCCCCCCCTCCCGGCCCGGCCCCCCCCGCCACGCCCCCCCCGCCCGGCCGCACACGCCCCCCGCCACCCCCCTCCCCGCTCCCCACCGGCCCGGCACCCCCCGCCCATGCAGGGAGGACGCGCGCGGCTGCGCGGAGGGAGACCGGCAGTGGCTCGGGCAGCCCCGCGGGGCGGGGAGGGGCGGGGCCTGCGGGCGGGGGCGGGGCCGGCGGGCGGGGCCGGCGGGCGGAGCCAGGTTCTCCCGGGCCGCGGTCGCCGGACGCTCCGACCATGTCCTGGGCCCGCGCGGCGCTGCGGGCGACGAGGCCGGTGCGGAGCGGGAGCGGGAGCGGGAGCGGCTCGGCGGGGCGGCTCGGCGGGGCGGCGGGAGCCGCGGCCTCTGGGTACGGGGCGCAGGGGGGCGCGGGGGGGCGCGGCGGGGCGGGGCGGGGCGCGGAGGCCTGTCGGCGGCCTGGGCCGAGCGCTGGGCGCCGGGCGGGCCCTCGGAGGGCGGCGGGGGCCCTGGAAGGATGGGGGATGGGGATGGGGGTGGGGGTGGGGGTGGGGGGAACGGTGCCCTCAGCGGTTGTGTCTTCTTACGGATCCTGCGACGCTTAGGTTGAAAGTACCCGAGTCGGGGTCGCTGGGACTGCCCTCCCCCTGGAATCCTAACACCTCGGGATTTCAGACAAACAGCGCTCGCTGAGTTGTTCAGCCGTGGTGGGCCCCGGGCGTTGCACGGGTCAGACGGACAGAAGTCGCTCTGTACGGGAAGTCCCTGCGGTGGAACGAGCGTTCTGCAGTCGTGCTCGCTGAACCGGGCACCCTGCCGCAGGACGTGGAGGGGACGCTTGGAGGATGGTGAGGATGCGGCTGTGGCTGACTCAGGTTGACGCCGCCCGCCCGCTGCAGCCCCGGCCTGCGGGCGGGACCCCTGCCCGGCTGATGCTGAGCCGTCCGCAGGCCCCAGCCGGCCCCCAGGTGGTGGTGCCCGGTGGAGTGTCTGTGCCTGCCACTGCGCGTCCGTCGCTCTGTCTCGGAGTCTCTTCCTTCCTACTTGGTTTGGTGACTCTGACCAGCCCTGCAAGGCGCCAGGAACTTGGAATTGCCTTTCTGTGCTAAGCTGGTGACCCACCCCGGAAGGTGCTGACCACGTGGTTTTTGCTGTTTGGCTCACAGGTCCTTGAGTTCCTGTGTTTTTCCAGTGATATGTCTCGCTGAGGCATTTAGCGTTTCGCCCATCTCGTATGCAGTAGGCGCTCCATAAATGTGGCACGGCTAATGGGTGCAGTCACTGTTGGAGTGAGACGTTTCTTGTGCACTTCGCTGTTGATGCCCCTTTAACTTACTAGGTAACAACCTGTACCAAGCCCAACCAAAATGGAAGGAGAGAGGTTCTTTCCAGAAACACTTTTATAGGAGAGGGTAGGAGACGATACTTCGATGCACCCCCTGCCTCCTCTCACTGCCCAAGATAACATTCGTTTGAAGGTCCTACTGGAACTCCTGCTTCAGTAGGAGATACTGTGGTAGGTAGTTTGGGGATGAAGGCGAGATGCTGGACTAGAGATGGAAATTAGTTGATAAACCAGATAGGTTGCTGATTTATTAAAGATTTTATTTATTTATTCATGAGAGACACAGAGAGAGAGAGAGGCAGAGGCACAGGCAGAGGGAGAAGCAGGCCCCATGCAGGGAGCCCGACGTGGGACTCGATCCCGGGTCTCCAGGATCACACCCTGGGCTGAAGGCGGCTCTAACCGCTGAGCCACCCGGGCTGCCCAGGTTGCTGATTTATTACACCGAAGCACCTTCTTAGGTCCAGCCCAGTGCTGGTTAACCTTTTTTTTTTTTTTTTTTTTTTCCTGGTTTGAGCTCCAGGAACTCCACGTGCTTTTTTTTCTTAATGTGCACTCTCTGCCCCCCATCTAAGTTGGTTGCAGTCTCCCTTGCATACTATCCTCACCCCTTCCTGAGTTAAGTGCATTAGCCTTTTTTGTTTTAAAGATTTCCCTGCTAACTATTGAGATAGATTGTAAACATTGGGGAGTTCTAGTGTTATAATGTTCCCTTGGAGTAGTTCCTGCCTCTCTTTGTAATTATTGAAGGAGATGTTTGTTATAGCATCCTTATTCTAAGTGTGCAGGCATGGCCATGTAAATCAGCTGCTCATCATCTGAGGATAACATGTAATTATCCACTTAAATTTTTTTCTCTTAAAGTAAATTCCGCACCCAATGTGGGGCTCAAATTCACAACCCTGAGTTACTGATGATGACGCCAGCTAGGTGCTCCCGACATTTAAATTTTAAATGCACTCACAGGGAATTAAGGAAATGTTTGGAAGGAGAAATTTTTCTATCAGAACTTGAGTTTGGAACATAATCATAAGGAGAATATATATATATATATATTTTTTTTTAATTTTTATTTATTTATGATAGTCACACACAGAGAAAGGGGCAGAGACACAGGCAGAGGGCGAAGCAGGCTCCATGCACCGGGAGCCCGACGTGGGATTCGATCCCGGGTCTCCAGGATCGCGCCCTGGGCCAAAGGCAGGCGCTAAACCGCTGCGCCACCCAGGGATCCCCAAGGAGAATATATTTTGAAATATTTGAAACTTCGGTTCTTTATTTTAGTCTCTTAATCTTTTTTTTTTTTTTTAAGATTTTATTTATTTATTCATTCATGAGAGACACACACACACAGAGAGAGAGAGAGAGAGAGAGGCAGAGACACAGGCAGAGGGAGAAGCAGGCTCCATGCAGGGAGCCCAATGTGGGACTCGATCCCAGGACCCCAGGATCATGCCCTGGGCCCAAGGCAGACGCTAAACTGCTGAGCCACCCAGGGATCCCCCTTAGTCTCTTAATCTTTAGATGTTCAAGTAATTCTTCTTTGAAGCCCATTTTATTCTGTGATTCTTTTGTAAGATTTGTAATTTTGCTCTAATTAGTTTGCATCAGGATGTTGGATGTGGCTTGGACAATGCAGTGGACCTGGCTGATCAAGGAAGATAAAGTGGATGGGGAAAGGTCCTAGAGATAGGCAAAGAGACTTGATATAAAACTGCTCAAGTTTTTAGCGAATATACTCGTGTTGCAATGAATGCCTCCTTTTATAAGCTCCAACAGCTACGTTTTAGGTAATATATACCTAGAGGGTCCCTGTAATCAAGAAATGATAGTAATATGTTAAACGTTATTGAATATTTACTGTGATCAAGGGACTGTTCTGCTGTCAATACATTTAACCTTTGTAAACCCTTTGAGGTGGGAGTGACTATTATTCTTACTTTATGGATCAGGAAACTTGGAGCTATGAGTATTGTGATTGAGATATCTTAATTTCCTTAAAATCTTTGAATCTTTGTATATTCTCTGTGTCACAGAGAATTTGTGACATGAAGATCTGGAATATTTTAATATGAAAATGGAAACTATTTTTGAACTAATGGTCAGGTCATAGGTCAAGCATTAGGACAGTCTGTGCGAAATTTGGTGTTCAGATATGAGTGCACCAGGCTTTAAACACAGTAAATGTGGTTTTATCAAATAATTAAGGACATGTGGAGCCTAGTAAAGCACACAGTCCACAGTCCCTTTTGGTTTTTGTAAACAAATACTTTGTAATCCTATATTTTTGTACTAATAATAAGTAAAACTTTTCTGTATTTCATAGATTTGGATATATATTTATTTGCATACCGGATTTTTTTCAAATGGATCTCATCTGCTATCTTATTTTTAATGATATATTATCTTTAACGTTTCAAGCTGCATTGCCTTTTGAAATTCTTTTTAGGATGGGGAACAGCACATCATCATCTGCATCAGCACCTGCTCCTGTGAATCAGATTCAAGTGAGTGTTGGAGAAGTAGGAAAAAACTTTCCTCTGTGGAAAAAGAATTGGGTCTTACACATTTAATATGCTTATTCAGTATTCAACACGACCTAGGTCAGCAAATGAATTACTAAATATATATTTTAAAATCTGCTATCAAAATAATCCAGTTCACAATTTATTGTGAACCTCTCAGTATTGTGAACGTTCTCATCTATAAAATGAGAAGGCCTAAAAGTAGACCGGCTTTCAGAAAAGTGACAGAAAAGTTCTAGATCATAGATCACATTGGTAGTCAGAATTTATGAGATTCATGGAGTCTTTACTCCACGTTGGGTCTGTGAGGTTAGCTCTTCCTTTCCCTCAGGCCTACCTACCCCAGGTGTACTGTTGCTACCAGTCATGCTGCCCCAGGGATACTGTTTGATATTGGCATGGTGTGTAAAGCTTTCTCCCCTAACACAGAACTTAGTATGCTGTAGTTACTCTATTAATGATCCTCTCAGGAACACCATGGGCTTGTGTGAACTCTTTTCCTCTTTTTCACTGCAAAACGCAGTTAATTCTGCCTCAGGAAACTTTTCTTATGTATGGTTTTCTTCCCTTGCAGTCAACGAGACATACTCATGTTTTTCTTTTCTGTATTCTTCACCACCACCAACCACCACCACATATATAACATTTCTGCCTTTGATTTGTTCGGCTAAAAAAGTGTTCACTCACAGCTGATGAACTTAACAGCAATGCTAGAAGCCTGTAGTGAGGGAATTGCCCCTTTTAAAACAAGAATATAAAATCGTGAAAATGTAGCAAGGTTGAGCTCAAGAGAAGGTGAGAAGGATTGTTCGAGAAACTCTAGCATTGTCATCTTGAGTTTCAACTCACTTTGAAATGTCTTCATCAGTTGTTTTAATGAATGTCAACACCCCGGATGCTCAGCTCTCTCTAAATGATGGTCTCAGTGTGCTTATAACCCGGGGCAGCATGGTGGAGGAAAAAGCACTGGCTTTGGCATTGGGACAGGTTGGGTTAAATCCTAGTATTGTGAACTTCTCAGTATTGTGAACGTTCTCATCTATAAAATGAGAAGGCATAAAAGTAGACCAGCTTTCAGACAGGTAGACCCTGCCTTAAAACCCTTCTGACACCCAAAGATGGATGTAACTTTAGAATTACTTTGCCCGGGCACTCTACTTTCTGAATTTTGGCTTTCATCTTGAAGGTGTTGCTTATGACCTGCGTAAGAACAGCCTAGACAGATGCTTGGGTGTTAGACCTATCTATTCAGAATCTCTTGAAGAACCTGCACATTTATATATTTAGAAACAAAAAAGAAAGCAAATTTCACAGGCAGTGCAATGCAGTTGCATGGCAAAGTCTCATGTTTTTTTGTGATGAAGACCCGGAGAGTGGTTTCCAAACCAGGCTGATATTAGAATCATCTGGGAAGTTAAAAAAAAAAAAAAAAAAAAAAAAAAACTTTCTGACTTCTGCCTGTAACCCATTGAATCAGCATTTCTGGTAGTAGCTTTTCCAGGAACAACAATATAAGAATGTCTTAACAATACTGTAATGACAGTCTGTTGTTGTTGTTTTACTATAAAGATACTTAGGAAGGAGTAGAAGTTGAGGGGTATTATACCTGGATCAGTGAAAGCCTTACTTTTTTTTTTTTTTAAGATTTTTTTTATTTATTCATGAGAGACACAGAGAGAGAGGCAGAGGCATAGGCAGAGGGAGAAGCAGGTTCCATGCAGGGGGCCTCATGTGGGACTCGATCCTGGGACTCCGGGATCACACCCTGGGCCTAAGGCAGGCGCTCAACCGCTGAGCCACCCAGGTGTCCCAAAAAGCCTTACATTTTAAAGAGAAATCGTGTATCAGTTCTCACCATAAAAGTTAAGGAAGGTAAGGAGTTAACTCCTAAACACCTATTAAGTATTTAAGAGGCAATGTAACAGTTTTAAGTGCTTGGACTATAGAATGAGACTTGCCTACCCACAAATCTCAGCTTTCCAGCTCTTTTTAGGTGAGGACTATGAGTCAGTCACTTAGCTTTCTAGTGCCTCACTTTCCTCACCTGTAAAATAGAGATAAATATAGGACCTATCTCAGGATTATAATGAGGTTTGTATGAGCTAGTAAAGGTCAGGTGTTAAGAATTGTGTCTGGCACACAGAGATGTTTGCTGTATATGAATTGGCTATGATTATTATTGTTATCACTCCATGCCTACTTTGCATCAGTTACATACTTTTTTTTCCTGAAAACATTCCTTTAAAATGAATAATAATCTCAATCTGCAGAAGATGGATTTTGGGGTCTCATGATTCAGTGCTCAAACTAAGTCCCTATTATCTATTTTCTCCTTTCCACTATAATCATGATTTCTTTCCAGAAAGTAATGTCTAGAATTAAAAGAATTTTTTTGGTTTTTTTTTTTTCTGACTTTAGGAAACAATTTCTGATAATTGTGTGGTGATTTTCTCAAAAACATCTTGTTCTTACTGTACAATGGCAAAAAAACTTTTCCATGACATGAATGTTAAGTATAAAGTGGTGGAACTGGACATGCTTGAATATGGAAGCCAATTTCAAGATGCTCTCTACAAAATGACTGGTGAAAGAACTGTGAGTGTATCTCTGTGGTGCTTTTACCCAAATAGGTAGCACCGGGGTCACCTAGAGCCTAGACCTTTGTGTTAGAAAAGTGAGCCAGGCACTCTCTCTTTCATCCTCTGAGAATCTTCTATGGATAAAGAAATGGCACATCAGGGAACAAGAGTCAGAGAGTGGGAAACAGCAGAATTCGTTTTATTTTTATTCTTGCCATATGTGCATACATGCATGTGTGTGTGTGTGTTCTGACTAGGAGAGTGGGGTAGTGGTGTTGTCATGAGTACTTGTCTGTGAATCTTTAAGATCCTCCTGGAGCTCCTTTCAAGGTGAAATCCTTCCTCCTTTGGCTTGGACAGTACAAACCATGGGTCAGTCTTGAGTTACTGTGCTAATAAGAGTGCTTTAGGTGCTTTATGTTCTTAGATTCCTGAAATTTGTCCAACCATATGCATTTTTTCAATGAAATGCATTATCAGGAAAATATAAAATGTCATTTCCTTTCTTGTTTCCATGTGCATGGAGGATGTTATGGTATACTCTTCTCTTTCAGTAAACAAGTATAAGAACCACCTAAACATATAAACAATAATTACAGACTGCTATTTTCCCTTTTATATGCCATAGCAATTAGAAGGAAGGGCCTGAGGGTCAGATTGCCCTGCATTTAAATCCTAGCTCTTTCATTTGCTATCATTGTGATGTGGGGCAAGTTCCTGTGCCTCATTTCCCTCCAAAATAAGGCTAAAATTAGTACCTACTTCAAGGGTTGTAGAGATGTAAGTAGATACTTTGTGAAACAGCTTAGTTTGGTGCCCAGCCCATAAAAAGTACCCAGAGTATGAGCATCTATTATTATTATTATTATTATATGAAAGGTCCTATACTTCTGACTAGAGTGACACCTAATCTTTTGTTTATTCAACAGGTGCCGAGAATATTTATCAATGGAACTTTTATTGGAGGTGCAACTGACACTCATAGGCTTCACAAAGAAGGGAAATTGCTTCCACTAGTTCATCAGTGTTATTTAAAAAAAAGTAAGAGGAAAGAATTTTAGTGATGTATGTGCTCATAAGGTTGCTAGTAAACTGATAACGCCTGATAATGCCTTTTAAATGTTTGAGAATGTTTTAAATATGTAAATAACCTTCATGAAAAAGTTGTAAAACTAATGAACAATAAATTGTTGTGGAAATCTCTCTTCCTACTTGCCAATTCTCGAGCAAAAGGGAGGATATTTAAAACTATTGGGGTGGAATTGTATCAAAAGATAAAAGAATGTATTTTATTAGGAATTTATATATGAATTTTACAACCAAGAGCTAGAAGGTGAGCATTTGAGATTCTTTATTTATTCTGTGTAGTATTCAGAAGTTTGACTCCTTATCATTATGGCTTTCAGTGGTGAGGACTGATTTTTTTATTTCTCTTTAAGATGGAAGGTTCTCTTAGATATAGTTGTCAGCAGTAGGGATATCCTTGTATTGTGACAAACCTTCACACTTTGTAGTTCTAGACTAAGAGAACTTTATTAAATTTGTATGATGGAATGAAATTTTCTTCAGAGAAAACCAGTTACTCCTTTAATGACCTAGTAGTTCCAGAGAATGGAACTGTACCTAGAGGGCAGAAATTAAAGGGGGAAGATTTCAGTATTGTATGAAGATGAACTTTTGAAATAGTTCAGAAATGTACTTGAGTATTATTGTGAGGTGGAAAATTATGCTTTCCAAAACTTGTCGAAAGGCTGTTTGTAAATGCTCCATTAGAGATCCAAGTATTGGGTGAGGGTTTAGGTTAGTGACCTTAAAGTAATTTCGGATGTAGATATTCTTCAATTCTGTTCCTGATACAAGCTGATCTCAGATAAACTTAGCAAACAAGATTATCCTATAGGAAGTCTTATTATAGAATTAACTAAAAATATTTTGGATACTTGATTAATCACATCCCTATTTCAAGCTTCTTATCAACAAGAATTTTTTAAGTGCACTTAAGGAAGCATTTTCCTAGCTAATCTCACAGTCACCAGGGCAGATTGCCAGAGGCTGTGAAGAGAAGTCTTCCTCAAAGGTGGGAGGACAATGCATTTTAAGAGAAGTGAAGTGCTTCTGCTTTCTGGTCAAGATGGACCAAGGAATCTGGGATAGTTCTGCAGGAGACAGCTGGTGGCTTTTTTGGCTAAATGTAATCCATGATGCTCCTTCATACATGGACTTATTAAACTGCCATTAGGAGACTTTGATAAAGTAAGAATTAGGATAATTTCATTCTCATGTGGTAAATTAGAACACTGGAATGGAGCAGAGAATGGAATGTCCGTTAGTCCTTTATTTTGCATTTTGTCCCAGAAATTTTACATGCTTGCTATGTTGTAGAATCTTTGTTAGAGAGTAGAGGAAGTCTGTTACCATGTGTAATATTATAAGTTACAGTAGGAAATATAGATTTGGTCTTAATCCCATTCCTGGCATACAGCTCCTAAAACCCTTGGTTTTCTTGTAATGAGAGCCATAAAAATGTTTTATTTAATGAGAGGATTTGAGGGGAAAGCCCATAAGGATGGCAGCTGGTTGCCTGGAGAACCAACCATGTGATTAGAGTGTTGGAACTTTCAGCTCCACCCCTGACTGCTGGGGAGGGGAGAGAGTAGATTGTCATTATTGGCCATTGGTTTAATCAGTCGTGTCCCTGTAATGAAGCCTCTATAAAATATACCCCAAAAGGACAAGGTTTGCAGAGCTTCCAGGATGGTGAACACGTGAACACTCAGGGGGAGTAACATGCCCAGAGATCATGGAAGCTCCCACCCTTTCCCCATACCTTGCCCTATATGTCTCTTCCATCTGGCTGTTCCTGCTGTCCTTTTATAATACACCAGTAATCTAGTAAGTAACACATTTCTCTGAGTTCTGTGAGCCATTCTAGCAAACCAGTTGTCCTACGGAGCAGGTCCTTAGAACCCTTAATCCATAGCTGGTCAGTCAGGGTAACACGTGACACAATCTGGATTTCAGGTTGGTGTCTGAAGCAGGGTTTGAGGGGAAGTCTTGGACTGAGCAGCTGCCCTGACACACCCATCCCAGATAACCAAGACTTAGTTTTAACTGAAAGGTGCTAGTTACAAAGCCTAGAGTTAAGGGGGAGGTATTTGGTTGGAGCTACAACAAACCACTAACTCCTCAGTGAAAAAAAAAAAAAATCACTATTAGTACTTAAACAATGATCAATACCTATTAGATCAAGAAAGAGAAGTGTTCAAAACACAGATCACAGAGGGTGTGACCAATGGGTAGTGACAGTCTCTGAACAATAAATTCCATTTTTTTTTTCATAAAATATGGATACCATCTTCCTTAGTATTTATTTTGGGAAGTGGAAATAATGTAAATCACACCATGGTGCTTATTAGTATAGACAGATTTTTCAATATTAAATGGCTATTATAATCACAATGGCTCAGAAGTATGTATGGTTTTCTTGGGAACCCATCAGGGTTTTCCAGTGTCCTAGTTAAGATTTTAGGGGGATGGATTTCCAGTTCTTCTCCCTTACCATATATCTTAGCTTGGGCAACTATAGCAAATTACCAAACTGGATGGTTTAGACATCAGTCTATTTCTCAAATTTCTGGAGCCTTGGAAGCTCAAGATCAGCTCAAGTGTAGCTAATTTGGTTTTTGGTGTGGGCCCTCTTCCTGGTTTGTAGATGGCTGTCTTGTGTGTCTCCACAGGGCAGCAGAGAGAAAGCAAGCTCTCTTGTCTCTTACAAAGGCACTAACCCATCTGAAGGCCTCACCTTCAAGACCTAATTACCTTTCTAAAGGCCTCATCATCAAATACCATCACACTGGGAAATAGGGTTTCAATACACAAATTTTGGGAAGACAGTCTGTAACACCATATTTTACAACTTGGCAAAACTAGGTAGAAGTTGTCTCAGCAGCTGTTTTTCCAGAACCAAAGGCTAGAAAGAAGAGAATAGTGATCATTTTAAGAAAAGGTAAAGTTAGGGCAGTCCAGGTGGCTCAGCAGTTTAGCACTGTCTTCGTGATCCTGGAGACCCAGGATGGAGTCTCATGTCAGGCTCCCTGAATGGAGCCTGCTTCTCCCTCTCCCTCTGCCTGTGTCTCTGCCTTTCTTTCTCTGTCTTTCATGAATAAATAAAATCGTAAAAAAAAAAAAAAAAAAAAAGGTAATGTAAACCTTTTTTTCAGTCTATTTAAAAAGATTGTATTTATTCTTGAGAGACAGAGAGAGAGAGGCAGAGACATAGGCAGAGGGAGAAGCAGGCTCCCTGCGGGGAGCCCAATGTAGGACTTGATCCCAGGACCCTGGGGTCACATCCAGAGCTGAAGGATCAACCACTGAGCCACCCAGGCATCCCAGTCTATATAATATTTAATGTTAAGATTTGGAAGATAAACTCTTTACTGTGGCCTACTAATACTAAGAAATGGGCCATTTCTCATTTTATCACTAATCAATTTATATGTGAATTGCCAAAATATCTAGTAGGGAAGATAAAAAACTGTTGAGAAAAAAGTGGTCTTTGTCTAAATGTATTAGGATTGTTTACTAATATAAAATTCCCATTTGAACAGTATTTTTAAAGTTATGTCTTACTGATAAGGTTTAATGTTAAATATTTTAACTTTTTAAAAATTATTTGAGAGCAAGCCAACTCCCTACTGAGTGGGGGAGCCTGATGTGGGGCTCTATCCTAGGACCCTGAGATCATGACCTGAGCTGCAATCAAGAGTTGGACACTTAACTGCCTGAGCCACCTGGGTGCCCCCTATTAAATATTTTCTAAGTCTAGTTTTCTTCAATGAAGAAATGTAGAATTCGTGATCTTACTTTCTCCATACAACTGCTATCATCTTTGAATAGAGAACTATAAAATCAACCAAATGTTCAAAGTTTTGGTAGGTTTATTTTCATGTAACTTCCTTTTTTACTCTTTTGCATAACCTATAGCTCAGATCTTATAAGTTTTCAGAAGTTTTATGGGAATTCAGAGAGAAAAGAAACATCTGCATTGGCACTAAAACTTTTTGTTTACATAATTGATTTTTGGTATTAATATCACTTTTCCCAAAGGTAACTTTACGGAGTATTTTCACAAAAGAATCCTATTATAAAACTCTTTAAGAATGTGCATTTTGGTTAAATCCAGAAATTCACTGGGAAAGATTCCTCAACCATATGTATTTTGAATATATGTAATTAGAGCCATTATAATAAGGCTAATGTTAATTATCAAACTTTAATTTCATCTTATTAAAATATCATGATTGCTAAGAGCCTTAGATTTTATAAGGCATATTATAACCTTAAAATTCTTATTTCTTTAAATAAATGAACACCATTGTGTGATGTGCATAGAGTTTATTTGGTTTATCTATCAGTTTCTACAATAATACAGTTGACCAGAAGCAGTTCCCATAATGTGCATCTGCACCCCATGTCTACAATGTTGTATTCCGTGTGGTATTTTGGAAGGCTAGAAAAGGAGAGAAAGTCAAGATTTCACAGTATCGGTGAAAACTTTATCATGAAATAAATTTAATTCATTAGTATTTCATCCATTTTTTATCAGAAAACAGCAAAATTACATTGTTAGATATATTATTTACAGTGAAAACATGGAAGACTCGACAAAGCATCAGTAAGTTTATCAACAGACCTAAGAAACCACCCTGCCCCTCTTTGCAGGGTCCTTTCCTTTGAAATGAAACTTGTGATAAATCAAACTTTGTATCCTTAAGCACCAGCTAGACAATTTAAAGTTTTCTTTCAGTTTTATAAAATATTCCTACTTCGAAAGGCAAAGTGAATGTAAAAATGTGAACGTAATTAAATCACTGACCTGGATACTTTTTATTGCAACAATCGCAATGTTTTACAACTATATTCACTTCTTTGAATGAATTTGCTTATAGGCTTGAAACAAAAGCATTTGCCTTTTGTCTTGAAAAAAATACCCTCAAAAAAGTAATCATTTTTGAAACTGTACAATTGTTTTTCATTCAGTGTTTAAATATGCAGCTTGGTCCTTGGAGATTATGTTACATAAAGTCCAGCTTCTTGGATAATTTGTTATACCAAACAATTAAAAAACCCTTGACCTACCACAAAATATTACTGATATTAAGTCATGTATATAGAACATACCAGTGTACTCAGATTATCCTGTTAATAGGTGCTTAAACTAATGTACAATCAGGTTTTAAAACTTTAACAGTTAAATTTCCATTCATTATGTAAAAAAATGAAAGCTCTAAAAGACCCTTTGAATTCTGTACTTCAGAAACACTAATACTATTAAGGCATTACTTAATGAACAGACTCTATGGAAAGTACCTAGTATGCCTGTTGGAGAGCTAGTCAGATTTTAAGGCAGTCAGAAGATTCATTTTTTTCACTGTAAGGCTCTTGCATACTTAAATTTTATTCTATGCAGGCATTATTCTGTGTAATTTAAATATTCAGTAAGTGGTCAATTACGGAAATCAAAAGCCTTTATATAAAACAAATGGATAGTTTAGAACTCCTTCAACCTATTTTTTTAAAAAGATTATTTCATATATCTCAACCCTTTGGAGAATTTCATTATCAGAAGCTGGCAATAAAGGGAGAAAATATAACTCCAATGCATTACAAAAAGTTCTACTAATACCAAACCACATTATATGTATCATCCATATTTATTTATTTATTTTTTATCATCCGTATTTAAAATAATAGTGCAACGAAAAATTTTTTCTTCATTACTATCCATTAGTTGTGTAATATTTTAACCTCAATTTGGCTGTGTATGGATTCTAAAGTTTACATTGCAAATAAAGCCTAATATTTAAACATAAGTTTCAATATTCTATCAATTATATATAGTCATGATAAATAAAACAGCAAGGTTTTACCTCATTTACTAACCTCAACAATCTAAGTGTTCATTAAGTGAAACCTGCAGAAATGTAGCTAACTTCGTATTTCTTTTGTTCAGTTTTCTGAAAACTTCCAAAAGTACAGAAATCAAGATATATTTTAAAATTCAGTATCACTTATGTTCATTGAATTAACAGGACACACGGTGGTGCCAAATTAAATAGAAGCAAAGGGAAAAACCTAGGCTCAGAAACAGCTTTTGTGTATTTTCATTGTATTTAGAAAATTCAAAATCATTGAAAATAATCACTTTAATTTCAGTAATAGAATTTTGCAATGCAACTCCTCTAGTTTATGTTTCTACCAATTTCCAATATAATTTGATACTTTCAGGGTTTAGGGAAAATGTGTCATTTATTATAATTTTATTCAAATAGTATGCTTAACTATATTAGACTTCTACATGAAAAAATATTGCCATAGAATTTTTAAGTTCATAATTTTTCAAAAGCAAATATAAAACCAATTAAGAAAATGTTAAATGTGAACACAAGTTACTTACAAGATCTTTTAGGCCACAAACAATGTATATATAAGCTCAGTGAAGTACTTAGTAGATGCAAGACTTGAAAGCAGTCCTTATATGGAAATCGGAGTATGAGATGTGCTATCTTCTGAGTCGTCAATTATTTTTTTCTGAGAGCTTTTTCTAAGAGCAAAGTAGATGTAGAATTGCAAACAAAGGCTTAAAGTCCACAGGATTTTTGCAGCATCTAGCGCAGACATACAATATAATTTGATGTGGGGAAATAAATATATTAATCCAATTATTGTTCCAAGAGACCTGCCCCTTATTAATTTGAAAAAATATTATCTTAAATCTGTATAGAACAAATGGAAATCTGCAAAAAGATTCATCCCAAACCTAAATATGGGTGATCTTCCTGTCATTCATTTTATTACTAAGCTTAAGAGCAGGACAAGGAACAGAAGACAAAAATGTCAGAATAAAGTAACTTTGAAAGAAGTTACCGGTGTAACTGTTGTAAGAAGGGTTGTAAGAAGTTTTACAGATGTGAAAGTAATCTTCCAACAAATAAGATTAGGAAGCAGATAATACTGAGATGCTAAAATCTGTACAGTAAATGTAACTAAATTCATAGCTTATCTTTTTTTCTAATTCTTCCTTACACAGGACATACTGCCTTAATAAATCACCTCAAACTTGTAGTATGTAAGACTAGAATTTTTCATTTTCGATAACTTACGCTAAGGACACTACTTTTCAATAAATTTTTATTTGTGGGTATGAAATGCTTTAGGTTAAATTAGGATAAGTCCAGTAAGTGATCACAGTGATTTTCTTTCAATTATTGTTTAGATGTGCTTTTAAAATGTTTTTCATTTAATTGTTAGATCCTCCAATTCGGGAATTTTTTCTTAAAGTTCCAAGATAATTTAATTTTATATTATTTTTCCAAAATCTTAGGAAATGAGGAAAAACCTTGATAAAATGATATTCTTTCATTTGTAGGTTTACCTGTTATTTTAAAAGAATAATCAAATGCTTATTAATAGTGTTTGTTTAGAATATACATTTATTTTCTAGGTTTATCCAAGTAGATCTGAGACTTAGAATATGTTCCTTTCTCTTGATCAGAATAGTGACTTCTTAGTCAATACTCACCTTCACTGTAAACATTTTTCTTCTACATTTTCCCCACTTATAACAGGAATGTTTTAATGAATTATTGAGCATATTGAACGGTTTTTCTAAACCATTTTATCATTCAAAACATGTATCTCCTAATAAGAATGTTTTTAAAGTTCCAATTTGTATTGTAAGCCCCCCCTCCTAATTTAAACTTTGTTATACAGATATTAAATCATTGATTCTTCTAAGATCCAAGCATCAAGATAGGTCACATTTCAAAGATAACAAAATTGATAGGTTAAACTGGTTGTCTATAGTCACATAGTAAGTTAGATGAAGCAAGAGGTTCCAGAGGGGTAACACTAAATCCCATTCACCAGCATCTTCCTCACTAATGTTCCCATAAGATAGTTACTAAATAATATGTAACTTAATAAATGGAATTTTCAAGAAATTTCAACTAATAAGTAAGGGTATCATTATAAGATTAGTTTTTGCTTCACTAATTATTATCATATCCTGAAAATATTTACATATTTTCTAGGAAATAGTTTATTTTTCTTAGAGCTGTTTTTAAAGCAACATTTCCCTAAGTATTAATGTAGCAATAATTCTAAAAGTAATTCAGAAAATAAAACTTCTTCATCACTTGAATACAGTTTTATTCATAAGGAGGTAAAGTTTTAAATTTTTTTTCCATAGGGCTACGTTATATGTAGCAACAGAGGTTATTAAGATATTAATTGTAATTGAGGATTACTATGAACTACAAAAGTATATGTGTTCACAATTTTGTCTTTCTACTCCTAAAGCAATCATGTATATACATTATTTCTTAATGCCTAAAAAGATAAAGAGTCTTGAGTAATTTTATTTTGTTTCCTACTCTGTGATCACTGTCTTCCCATTTTGTGGGGAGATTAATTCTGGAATGGGAATGAAGAGCCCAAGATTGCTATATCTAGTACTTCAAAGCCATACTTTTTTAGACCTTGGATCCTTAACCTACATTTAAAAATCACCTTTTAAATTTCAGATTTTTTTGTTCTTTAAATTTTACTCTAATCCATTTAATTAGACGTATCTAAATACTTCAAAAAGGTCACATCTAATCTTACTCTCTCTGATGGACTGATTAGCTTGTGAACATCCAAGTTTATATAAGTGAAGGAAATAAGCTTTTATGCTACATTCCAGTTAACGTTTCTATTAGGAATAAAAAGTTAGATCATGTTATAATTTTTAATTTAAGGAGATCTTGGGTTTACTTAAAAACTTCAAAAACTATTATATAACTCTACTAGGCCCTTTAATCTGAACATAGTATTTTAATGTCACCAAAAGTAGCGAACACCTTATATCCAATGCTTGACAGAGGGTTAGAAACCAGAATGACATCAGAAGCAATGTATGGGGGATGATGGTGGGGGAGTGCACATGCTACTTTGCTGACAAAAAAATCTCCGGTAAATCACAACACTTACAAATTGCTACCAGTTGCTTGAAGGAATGGCTACATAGCAGAGCCAGCATTAATACGTCAAATTAGTTTGAAAGGGACATTTTCTTTTCCCTTCCAGAGCCCAAATTTCTCATGAAACAAATTATCTTCACAAATTCTATACTACTAAAGTCCCCTTTGCCTTCAAAACAAAACCTCTAACTCCTAAGCACATAGAAGGCTATAATTTATATTTACCAGTTTAACTTTTCACATGACAGTGAGAAGGGCTTTATAAATCTTCAGTAAATCGTTAATTATGAAAAGAATAAATAACAACTGAAGTTTTATGTCATCTTAAACAACCATGGTATCATTATGAGCAAAGATACTGGCATTTTTAATAGGTTAAACCTCCCCAGAAAGAAGGGACAGTTGTTCAAGAAAATAATGCACTTTAGTGTAATGAAAAGGAAGTTTAATATACACAAATAAAATAGAAAAAAAATTTTTCTTACAGATTGGTTAGTGGTAATGTTATTCAAAAGTTGCCTTTCAAACCTGAAAGACCTAGCTTGCTTTATTATCTTTTGTACACTATTAAAAAAGAGTGTTTTGTCACAAATGAATAATGAACAGAGATACGTCATCGACATGTTTACAATCAGGAAATATCTAAAACCCACTTACAATTGACTAAAAAAATAGGTAAAGATAATTAGAATATTTAAAGTAAGGTAAAAGCTAATCTGGTTACAGGTGAGATAATTGTCATACAGATTTAGGTGTGGGGGAGCTAAATGCTTGAAACAGTCTGTTGGTTTCATTTGGTAAGACTATGAAAAAAGAAAAAGTGTGGCTACATGTGGCTATTATTTCAGCACAAATTGTGAAGTTATGCCCCCACTCACAGCAATAAAATGCACCAAAACAAAAAGCAAACCAAATAGGCTTCCTCAGGTGACACCAACTTTAGTGTCTTTTCTCAGGGGTTTTCCACTATTTTTCTGGTTAATGTAACAACCCTACATGTGTAAATAAAATATCAGATTCAAAGTATCTTTTTCACTGAGTAAGAAAGCTGCTATTTATGTGATCTTAGAAAACTCCAAGAATTTGTAAAACCTGTTCATAATTTAATCAAATGTCTTTTTTTTAACCCCTTGGTATAAAAATTTATAGATGAATTTCATATTCCATCACAGTTACATGGTCCAGTGCATTTTAGAATATTTGGACATTATCAAAGCTGTCCTTTCCCAATGCAAACATTTATGAAAACTTTAAGCACTTTTCAAACAAGTGACATGATATGGAACTACTTACACTTTTGCCTCTCACTTCTTTTAAGTACAAATGTGATTATTCACCAGAGCAAAACTGTTTGACTATTTTACAGTATCTATCAACAAGAAGTTCTCTTAGAGGAAGCTACAGTGTATTCTGACGCTATTTCCCGAGAGCTAGTTTAGTAGACAGAAAGAACTTTGGGCTCATCTTACTTTTCCTTCCTTTTTTTTTTTGTAAAGTAAATTTTCCATTATGCATATACTATACTATCATCATCTTTCATTGGATTAAGATGAGCTGGGAAGTAGCTACATATTTTTAGCGAGATCACGGATGACAATGGACCTCCTTAGTTCATGCTGGTGCTTATGGTTAAATCACATCTAATGTGAAATTTCGAATTACATCCAGAGCTCCAGTATCAAAGCCACACATATCCAACATGCCTCTATCATCTGGGTCTGCAATGGTAAAACCATTCGATGTCATTCCACAAACAATCAATTTAGCTGGAATGTCCATTTTCTGTTGGAAAAGATCAAAATACGTATTTTAGAAATTTATATAAGCAAAAGCAAATAACCTCCAAAATTAAAGCTCTTCAAATTCTATCACAAGTTATTACAAAGTCAATTTTTTTCTCTCCATAAAATTTCTTAATCTTTTAGGGCCAGAGTCTATGATCTTCAGAAGAACAGAAAATAAAATTATGTAGACAGCCTGCCTGAAATTCCTGCTTCTCTGTTCCATGGGCCATAGAGTACATTCCTTTGCAGCTTAGAGGCTTTTTACTCATGAAACCTGTCAGGACATTTGGGGGCATCAGATATTTTTACCAGTATATCAAACACTGGGGCAGTATATGTGGGTATATATAAAGAAATATTACCCTGCAATTATCAACTTTTGGTCTTTGGTTGGTTGTGTTATATATGAAACATACACATCACATGTAACTTATTTTCCACAGCTATGGCTTAACGTTACAATAATTGAATTTTGGAGAAGAACCAATAATCACTGAGTATGCAGTATGTCAGATACCATAATGAGCTCTTTAATTTATTTAATATAATTGTTGCAATAACTCTAAAAGGTAAGTAGTACTATTAGATACTATGACATGTATCAGTTAATTTGCTAAGGTCCATACTAAAAAAGAAAGACCCAGGACACTCAACCCAGGCTGCCTTGACTACAGGTTCTATCCTCTCCCTTTGTCTCAAACTTACACATTAGAATTCCTAGGAGATTTGTTAAAACATAATCCAACTCTCCAGTTTGATTCAGCAGGTCTCCCATGGGGTCCAGGAATCTGTATTTCTAACAAGGTCCCAGGCTAAGGCTGCTGGCAGGGAAACCACATTTTGAGAACAAAACTCCTCATCAAATTCTAGTTCTCCTAGTCACATTAGCCACAACTCAAGTGCTTGATAGCCACATGTGACTCATGGCTACCACACTAGATACTATAGATAAAAACATTTCCATGATTTCAGAGGGCTCAACTGGAGAACACTGATTAGAACACTGAAATAGGGGACACCTGGGTGGCTCAGCAGTTGAAGTCTGCCTTTGGCTCAGGGCACGATCCCAGGGTTCTGGGATTGAGTCCTGCATCGAGCTCCCTGCGTGGAGCCTGATTCTCCCTCTGCCTCTCTCTGTGTGTCTCTCATGAATAAATAAATAAAATCTTAAAAAAAAAAAAAAAAAAAGAACACTGAAATAGCCATAAAACTTAAAACACAGCTTATAGCTGTAATTTTACATAGTCCTTTTGCAGAGGATATTTTAGTAATGTATAGAATTGGGACTAGTTAAAATAAGTCATACGTGTATATCCCATTTTCTGTTTTAAAGATTTATTTATTTATTCATGAGAGACAGTGAGAGAGGCAGAGACACAGGTAGAGGGAGAAGCAGGCTCCATGCAGGGAGCCCGATGCGGGACTCGATCCCAGGACTCCAGGATCACGCCCTGGGCCGAAGGCAGATGCTCAACTGCTGAGCCACCCAGGTGTCCCAATATAGCTAATATTTTTTATTTCAAGTATTGTTGAACTTGTGTTGTATCCCTATGCAAAGATACAGAACTATTTTCAGTATATTTTAGAAAAAATACTGAATATTTGAGAACTGAGTCTTATTTGGGGTGAGAAAGAATATTAGAATTTTACCTTTCGATACTCCTTCAGAGCAACAGCAGGATGGATACTTCCAGCAAAGGTCTCATTATCAGTGAAGACAATGAAGACATCAGCAGCTGTGTTTGTCTTCTGAGCCCAGATCATTGGAAGAGAGCAATCAGTTCCACCTGCTGGGATCTAACTCAACAAAAAAATGGATAAGAATAAAAGCGCCCTAGTTTACTTACTGAGATGTCTGAAATAATACTTAAAAATACTATTTTTTACATCATCATTTTGTTTACAGCCAATATACAGACCTTCTCAAGGCATGTGTATATATTTATTATTCTGTGCTCTGGGAAAATTGAGATAAAACTATTTGTTTTCATAAACTTATTAATATTACACAGGACATCAAAATAAATTATTATATAACACATGTTAAGTAAACTTAATAAAAACAGTTCCTTACCTGACTCATAGCCATTAAAACTTGTTGTAATGTCATATCTGTAGTCACTGGACATGGTACCATTTCATCTGAAAAAGCAACTACATAAGAATCTTTTTCTGTTCGTGTAACAACCTGAAAAAAATCAAAGGTGGTAACTTTCAGCAGATTCAGGTGAAATAAATAGAGTATCTTAAAGTTCATTAAACTTCATTTTTAGAATATGCTTATTTTTGGGGCACCTGGGTGGCTCATTCAGTTAAACATTAAACATCTGTCTTCTGCTCATGATCCTGGGTCCTGAGATCGAGCCTGAGTCAGGCTCCCTGTTCAGCAGGAGTGTGCTTCTCCATCTCACTCTGCCTCTGTCCCCCTGCTTTTTTGTGCGCTCTCTTTCTGTCTCCAATAAATAAATAAAATCTTAAAAAAAAAAAAGTTTATTTTAATTTTTGTTTTGGAACTACACAGTAACAGTATAACTTTCAAGGTACTTTCACAAACTGTTACAAAGAAATTGGTTCCCATAACTGTGCTTTGAATCAAATAGAGTATATGTTCTTGTCATTTTATTAAAGAATAAAGCCACAGAAGAGAAGGGACAGAGTCAGGCTAGATCCAAAGTATCCTGACTGTTGTTCTTGGTTCCTGATCTTTTAATTTCTATATTTAATAATACTTTCTCTAAGCATTATCTGCTTAAACAATACATTAATATTTAATATTTTTTTAAAATTAAAATTTCTGTTGTTCTTTAGACATGCTTTATAAATATACCTACAATAAACCTAAAACTTTTGAGAGAGAAAGCCTGCACCTGAGTGGGAGGAGTAGAGGAAGAGAGATGATCTTAAGCAGGCTTCATGCCCAGTGTGGAGCCCAATACAGGGCAAAATATCACCACCCTGAGATTATGACCTGAGCCAAAAATCAAGAGTTGGATGCTTAACCAACTGAGCCACCCAGGCTTAAAACTTTGCTTATTCTTAACTATTTTTATATATTGATATTTAATTGAAATAAATGTGCTAAATAAAGCAAAATGACAAAAACAAGTGAAAACATAATCCTTGATCATATCTAACTTTATAGTTTTGTCCCACATTAAACATTTTTTAGGGTGGCTAAAATTCTTAATTGTTTTAGGTGTTCTCACCATGCACATTGCTGCAGCAACTGTGCTAGCATTGAGTACACTACCCAAAACTCTTTGGTTCATAGAAGCACTGACATCAATAGCCAGCAAAAAACGTTTTCCAGTTGGCTCCACTGTCTAAAAAACAAAAACACACAAAACAAGTGTTAAAAGCAATCATAGAAATTACAATTAATTTCTAAAAATCGTATTATTTTTCATTAGAAGACTTTTAAGATAAAAAACCTGATTTTTAATTTACCAATTAATTGACAAGAACTTGAAAATGCTTAGCTTTTCTGGAGGAAAATTAAGACCACCTATTTAATAATTCCATTAAAGAAGTTACCATCTTCCTGTTTTTATTATTTTTTTTAGAAATCATTCCTCATAAAGTAAACTGAGAATACCTAACAAATTTTTTTGTGGTAAAATATAAATAAAATTGCTTTTACATCATTTTTAAGGGTACAATTCCATGAAATTAAGTATATTTACAATGGCATGTAACCACCACTATCTATTTCCAGAACCTTTTCATTATCCCAAGTAGAATCTCCCTACCTATTATTAAAAATTCCCCATTCCCATGTCCCTTTAGCCCCGTGCAACTTCTATCTTCTTTTCTATGAATTTGTCTATTCTAGGTACCTCACATAAATGGAATCATTATAATACCTGTCCCTTAATGTCTGGCTTATTTCACTTAGCCTAACGTTTTCAAGGTTCATCATTCAAGGTTCACGTCGTAGCATGTTTCAAAATCCATTCCTTTGTAAGGCTGAATACTCCACTGTGTGTATATATTTGCTTGTGTTTATCCATTTATTTGCTGAACACTTTCTACCTTTCAGCTATTGTGAATAGTGCTCCTTTGAACACTTACCTATAGGCACGTTTGATTCTCTTTTCAATTCTTTAGGGTATATAATTGGTGTAAATGCTGGATGGCATGGTTAATTCTATGTTTAACTTTCTGAGGAACAACCAAACTGTTTTCCACAGGGGCTGTACCATTTACATTCCCACCAGCAATGCACTAAGGTTGCAATTTCTCCTATCCTCTCAAAGGCTCCTTATTTCTGCTTTTATGATAAGAATTAATGATTTACATTTCCCTTATGACTAATGATGCTAAACATCTTTTCATGTGCTAATTGGCCATTGGATATCTTCTTTGGAGAAATGTCTTATTCGAGGACTTTCCTCATTTTTTAATTGTTTTTTTTTGTATTTTTACTGTGGAGTTGTAGCACTTCTTTATATGTATTCCAAACACTAGAAAGCTATCAAATATATGATCTACAAATATTTTCTCCTATTCTGTAGATTATCTTTTCACTCTTGATAGTGCCCTTTGATGCACAAAAGGTTTATTAAATTCTGATGAAGTCCAATTCATTTACTTTTCCTTTTATTGCCTGTGCTTTGATGTTATATATAAGAATCTATCGCCAAATCTAATGTCATGAAGCTTTTACTCTGTTTTTCTTCTATGAGTTGTATAGTTTCAGCTCTTAAATATATAGGTCACTGAACCACTTTAATTTTCCTAAGTAATGGTACAACTTTGTTCCTTTGCACATAGATATCCAGTTTCTCCAGCACCACTTTTTGAAGACTATTTTTTTCTGTACTGAACTGTTTTGACACTCTTGTAAAAAATCAGTGGACCATACATGTGAGAGTTTATTTCTAGCCTCTGCATTCTATCCTATTGGTCTATGAATTTGCCTTTAAGCCAGTACCACATAGTTGTGATTACAGTAGCTTTATGCTGTTTTGAAATCTATAGAGTCTGCCAAATTTGTTCTTTTTCAAGATTGGTTTTGTTATTTGGGGGGTCCCATTAAAGTCCACATAAATTTTATAGTGGGTTTTTCTATTTCTGCAAAACGTGCTGAATGTGTAGACTGCTTTGAGCAATACTGTAATCACTGCATGTGTAGTGAATGCACTACACATAAACAGGAAAAGATGTGATGTATTACATTAATTTTTGTATATTGAACCATCTTTGTATATTGAAGATAAAAATCTTTGTATACTCCCTTTGTTACTGAATTTAGTTACTACTATTTTGCTAAATAATAAGAAAATCTTAAAATCAAAAATTCTTAAAATCAAATCCTCTGATGTAGGATTTTCAGTCCTAAAAAAATCACTTCACACCGAGACAAGGGAGATACACTACTGATTAACAAAATGACGGAGGACCAAGTCAAAGAACTCTACAGGAATAAAAAAAAAAAAATTAATTTGGTATTTTAAACCTTATCAAAATGATTTTATAAGATAATTGGGTATTTTCCAAAGGTATGGAGAAATTTTTTACTCATAAACTTACAATGTTTATTACATACCTGCATTTACATGAACTACGAAAAAAAGAATATCTAATAAATGGTTAAACTATTAGTATGATCTTTAAAATGTATTTTTATAAAATATATCAATTCCCAACTGAGTCATTTTGTTATAAAACAAAAATCAAAACATTACCTTAAATGTTTTGTAAAAAGCAGCATCCAAAGCTTTCAAAATTTCCTCATCAGGACGCCACTTCAGTTTTCCTCTAAGCCCATGACCTGTTTTATAAGTTTCTGATGCAATTAAAACATGAAATGGATGTATACGAGCCTAGAAACAAGACAGAGACAGAAATAAATGCAAAACAATCAAATGAAAAATAGTCATTATGTGTCTTAGATTTCATTATTGTAGCTAATAAATGTATTTCATAAAGAAAAGACAAAAATGAGGACATATTATCTTACATTTCAGAGTTAATTGAAATTTGGTATTATAAAACTCTCAGGACACCTAAAAATGCGCTAGTTACATTTCCAGAATTTAGGAGTTAACTTTTTCAATTACTAGTAGCTAACAAATGCTTAGTGTTTTTTAGATTTTTTTAAAGCTCTTATTTATTTGAGAGGGTGAGCAAAAGTGCACACACGAGTGGGGGGGAAGTGCAGAGGGAGAGGGAGAAGCAGACTCCCTGCTGAGCAGGGGGGATCCACAGACCCAGGGATCATGAATGGAGTTGAAGGCAGACACTCAACCAACTCAGCCAGCAAAGCACCCTAATGCTTACCTTTTTTAACAGTTTTTCATTACACAGTTTTTCACATACTAAAGATACTTCTGAATTTCCTGGTTCAAGAACTGAATTAGCAGTCATTTTTCCTAGGTTCCTTAGTAATGCAGTAAGAGGCATTTCTTGTAACAAAGCCTTCCATACCTATTGAAGTGATAACATAGGTAGAAATGTAAGGAATTAAGGAGAAATGAATCAGTATAATAGCTGTATCAATAATACTACTAATAACATTTTTTTAGGACTTTCTTTTGGGGTTTGAAGTATTTCCTCAATAAAAAGATTTGCACAATGATCAAAGGCTTATCAAATTAACTTGCTCTCTACTATAGTAGGAAAGTGAAGTGTATTCTATGAAGGAACTCATAGAATAATTTTACTTATTTATTTTTAATTATTAGCAAGGCAAATTAACTGGCCTATCTGAAGTAGAAATAACACTTAACTGAATGCCAACTACATCTGGGCATTGTGTTAAGTACTTTAAATAAGTATTAATTTCAAGATACATTTTATATTTTTGTTCAAAAGAACTGTATATATAGTTACCATCTTATAAACTACATATCATAAATTACTTTTTTATCACACCTTCAATTTTTTTTTTTTTTTAAATTTATGATAGTCACAGAGAGATAGAGAGAGAGAGGCAGAGACACAGGAAGAGGGAGAAAGCAGGCTCCATGCACCGGGAGCCCGACGTGGGACTCGATCCCGGGTCTCCAGGATCGCGCCCTGGGCCAAAGGCAAGCGCCAAACCGCTGCGCCACCCAGGGACCCAGGGATCCCCACACCTTAAATTTTAATACTCATGTTTAATCACATGCTATATTATAATTTACTTACCTCTTTAGACTTTAAATGATTTGTTAGAAGATGTTCCCTAACTAATCTATGTTCTTCTATTAGATGAATGACTTCCAGTTCATCTTTTGTGCGTTTCACTTTCTCTACAGCCTCCAGATACTTTAATAATTTTTCAGTCTCCACAGAAAGTGCTTTTTCTTTATACAATTCGTGGACTTCTTTCCAGCCCTTGGTAATATATTTGGTCACAATAGCAAGTCCTTTAAGAGAATAAGGAATTGAAACAGCATGAGAATTTCTAGGTGATAAACAACATATATACTGAAAATGCAGTAACTAGATACAGGGGAGCTAAACTCTTTACACTGTGAGGCTGCTTTCTGTGATATAACAGACACATTTAAGCCAACGGAGTCAAATGATCTTATTTCATCACAATTGTTTTAATACAAGGCTCTGGAGAAAAATCTCCTATATTCATTCTAAGTCATTTTATTATAGAGCTTTTGGTTTTGTGTGTGTTTTGAGACACCAGCATTAGACAATACCTATCTCAGGTCTACAATCTCAGAATGATTCACAAAGTACAGATCTGTCTCAATCTTCAATTCACTTGTTCCTTTTTGCTACTAAATAAACAAGCATTTATAAGTAGCAGAGATAAGTGGAAGTGGAAATGTAGGTAAGTAATTTGTTGTTTTTAATAAATGAGAAAGTATTACAGGCCAAATTAAGGAAAGAAACCAAGATGTTTATTTCTTTTGTGATTTCTTTTAATAGTTGAAAGGGCTTTGGATCGGGGGACTGAGGAAGTCTGTGTTCTATCCTACATTCTACCAATAAATGGCTGTGTGACCATTTCAGGCCTTAGTTTTACCTCTGTAAAATGGAGAAGGGGATGCTTGAGTTATCAGACTCAAAAAGGTGTATGGGGTAAATGCTGGTAAAATAAATAAATAGGACAAGTCACATAATAGAGAGTGGTTAAGATGATGGAACTAAAGAGAGTATAACCTACTAATGTTTTAGTGAAGTTCTGGCTTACTGCTGCCAAAGTATTTTCAAAAGAAGCCAGAATAGGTATTTTTATGCGAGGTCTTCTGATTTTTTTAACGTGATGTTAGCCATGAATTCATTTTTTTCTAAAATACTGGCCAAATAAATCCATCTTTAAGGCAGATTGAACCTATGTGTTATCTCTGGACTCTAAATAATTTGATCGAAGTCAATACTAATATGTAGGATCTTCTAAAAAGTACTTTGGCTCTTCCAGATTTTAGCACAAAATCTAATGTCTTAAATTACTAAATGTTTCGTATGTGAGCACATCTTCTATTTTGTCTTTTCAGTTAAAATATAACTTCTTAAAGGCAGTCATCTTACGCAAGTTCTATGCTGGCCACATGGTAAGTACATAATAAAAAACTGATTAAATTACATTTTCTTGTTTTATATGTTTTAAATACACATTTCAGTTAAAGTATTAAAACATTACTTATTTAATAGCTTAGACTATATTTCCAAATTCTTTTTACTCTGAGAAGCTTAGAGTCTCTTATCCCTGAACATACTGCCATTATTCAAAGATTTTAAGTATGAGTTCTGCCCTCAAAAAATTTAGAATTAAAGAATACCATCTGTGGGAGCAAGTTTAGGGAACGTCAACTAATTCCTCATTTTATAGACCAAGAATCCAAAACCCAGAATAACTATTTGCACAAATTCAGAAACTAATTTTTCCAATTAGAACTAGCACTTAGGTACACACAACCATGCAATGTTTCAACACTGGATCCCTACCTTCTTCTTATACTGAATCAAAAATTTAAAAATAAAAAATTAAAGCATGAATATGTTAGGGGAAAAAAACACAGGTATTTTTATAACTTTAGGTTGGAAAAGGCCATTCTAAACCTAACACAAATCTATGAAGAAAAACGGTAAGTTTCATTACATTAAAATTCCAAACTTCAATATGCCAGAAACCCCCCATCAAAAAAAAAAAAAAAAAAAGAAAGACAAAAAATATAAGCGGAGGGGAAGTGCATGCTATGTATATAAGAAGTTATAAATTCCTATATGTTCCAAGTTCTTAGAACAATGCCCATCCATTAGGTGCTCAATAAATATTTGTTGAATGAATGAATGGTGACAATATTCAGAATAGCAACCCCATGGATAAAAGGGCAAAGATATACTCCACAAAGTTACAAATAATCAGCAGTGCCCATAAATTCAGTAAGATATAATTTTTCACCTATTCTGTTTGCAAAGATTAAAACACACTGGTAATAATCAGTGTTCAAATATAGGGGAAACTGGCCACTTCTAAATAATCTTTGTGGGTTTACCTATATATATTTACATTATTCAAGCTTTTTCACTGTAGTATTTTTGTAATGGTATAAAAAACCAGAATCTATTTAACTGTCATCAGTAAGAGACTCGCTACATAAATTATAGTATATTCATACAATGGTATATAAGCAACCATTTCTACTGACTTGAAGAAATATCAATGTTTTTAATTGAAACGAAGAAAGTATAAAAAATTTAAAAATAAAACAGTGTATGTTTAGGAGTAATGTTCAACACAGTGATTTCTTTTGAAGGGCAGGACTCCTACTTTCTGCACTATATTTTTATGTATTATCCAGCTATTTTAAAACAATTTCTAATAAAAAACCAAAATACAAATGGGTCTGTTTACATAAATATTTGTAATACTTTGATGTCTAAATTTCATTTTAAAAAGTCCATTCATAATAAAATGGATAAATTAGGAATTAATGAGGAGCTGGCTTTTCAAGTTTCACTTCTGGTATTAAAAGAGCAAATTTTGGAAATGTGTAACTTCATACTTTACATTATTCTTGCCCGAAAGTTTTTCTTATTTCCCTTCTAAGAAGGAGTAGGTGATTATCATACATTCACCTAACTTCTCAAAAGTCTCTTCCCATAGACATAGAAAAACTGCCCCAAGTTACCATGTCCCCTGGCTGACTGCTTGGAGATAATTAACATCCTGAATTGTTAAGTTCAGCACTATTTCAGGTAGCCTTTAGGTTCCATGGAACATAAATCCTAGGAAGACAGGGAGGGAAAAAAACCATAAGGGACTAGAGCAGTGTAGCCTGGCTATCTGCCATCTACTGGCTTAGGAGGTGTTTTGCTTACTACAACTTTAATCACGTCCATGCTGCTTTCATAGTCCATAATCACTTGGGTAAGCATTCTAGTTAGCATGGTGACATTTTGAGATTTAAAATGTTAACCTGTAAATCTGTCCTTGGATTCTTGATTAGTAATGTCTGGATTGTCTGTGGTTGGGAGTTTAATTCCAGGTTGGCGTTAAAACATTTCAATTAGTCAACCAATGTACTTTGAGATAAAAGGCTATTTCTAGAAGATATTATACAATCATCTCATGTCAAATAAAAATTTGCTATTTATCAGATATTGGCAACCTCCCCCAACCCAAAGATCTTATGCTTACCTTCACTGGAAGGTTTAAGATGTGACAATCTTAATAGATCTTTGTGAGACCAGCCATTTCTTTGTTTATACTTTGTAACTGCCAGAGCAAGGGCCATGCCCCCCTTTTCATTGTACCAGTCTGCTATAGCCTTCCGGAGGGCACGACCCCACATGCCACATTTCATGCTTTCCTTCAGATCTTTCTTAAACTGGATAAAAGTAAAGAGATGTGTAGGAATGCGACAAACTTCAGAAACAGCTTTAAATGCTGCTTGTTTTGTGCTTATGTCAGAACACTGAGAGCAAATGGCAAGTGCAAAGAGCATAGGCTCTTGTTTTGCGGTTCTGCCTTCTTGACTAAATGACTTTATTTCCTGGATCACTTCACATCCTCTTCCATCTTCAATCAGTCTAATTAAAGCTTCAGCATTTTCAAGGCCCAACTTCTGTTCTTTGATATAATAAGTTCCACCTTCAGAACCAAAACATAAGAACCGGTGTAGTCGATTCATATCAGTGACTTGCCATACATATCCATCTTCAGAATTGGTTATCTGCTTCTCATTCAGCGGTTGCATTTGGTTTACTGATTCCTCCATTTTTCTGTCTTTTAGGAAACCTACCAAAAAGCAAAATGTTATCTTAGCTAGAAACAAAACAGTAAAATTACAAAAAGGAAAACATTTATTAATCTATGCTTTTTAAAATGTTATAAAACCTTTATTTTTTTTAAAGATTTAATTAGACTGAGTATGCACATGTGCATGGGCACTCTTTTTTTTTTTTTTAAGATGTTATTTATTTATTCATGAGAGACACAGAGAGAAAGAGGCAGAGATACAGAGGGAGAATTAGGCTCCATGCAGGGAGCCTGACATGGGACTTGATCCTGGGTCTCCAGGATCACACCCTGGGCCGAAGGCGGCACTAAACCGCTGAGCCATCTGGGCTGCCCCTACATGGGCACTCTTGCAGAAGATAGGCAGAGGGAGAAACAGACTCTGGGCTAAGGGCTCGATCCCAAGACACTGAGATCATGACCTGAGCCAAAGTCAGATGCTTAACTGAATGAGCCACCCAGGTGCCCCTGTTACAAAATCTCTTAACTTGAAAGTATTTTTTAAGCTTGTTAAATGGTAGTATGATAACCAGAACCAACAACTAGAAGGTTATTACATTTTTAAGGCATGGTTTGTTGCTTCAGAGACTAGGCAGGTAGCTCAGCGTGGGGTCTGGAGGCCCAGAGAGAATAAAAGGAGTAGGGAGGGCAGCTATGGTAGCTGAGGCTCAAAAAGATCTTAGTCTCTTTACTACCAGAATAACTGTGTACACAGTTTTGGTTGGGTATCTAACATTCATCCCTTCCCTCCCCTTTTTCCCTAGCAATAAAGTCCTTCAGGGAAGGCGAGACCTTTCTCCAGCCCGAAGGGATGATTCTTCGTTTCTCTAAGCCAGCTTTTCAAACTCTGTGTGCATCAGAATTCTTGAATTGCTAGTTAAAACACTGAATGGTGGGCCCCATTCACCATCCCTAAAGTTTCTTTTTAAAATTCAGTGTGTCTGGAGTGAGGCCTGCGTATTTGTACTTATCACAAGTTTCCAGGTGATGCTCTCATTTCTTTTGCCGCATGACAAGTTTAAGTCATGGGCATGTAACTGGCCAGTATGACATATTAAGTCTGCAGAGAATTTTTTTTTAAGATTTTATTTATTTATTCATGAGAGATACACAGAGAAAGGCAGAGACACAGGCAGAGGGAGAAGCAGGCTCCCTGCGGGGAGCCTAATGTGGGACTCCATCCTAAGACCCAGGGTTCACAACCTGAGCCAAAGGCAGAAGCTCAACCACGGAGCCACCCAGGTGCCCCTGCAGAGAATACTTCTGAGGTTTTCTTTACTCTTAAAAGTGGGACTGGGCTCTTAAAAAAGAATGCTCCCTGTTCTACCTCCAGACATTCAATTACAAGTGATGCCTGGAGTGGTGGGCTTGAGTCATGGGGGAATCAGTTTAAGAAGACACACTAATTTATAAGGATGGTAGAACTGGAGAAAAAAATTAGAAAGAATCTGGATCCTTGGTATCATTCAGCTACCTGGAAATGCCTTACTTACAAATTTCATAACATAATAAATGCATCCTTATTGTTTAAGTCATTTATAATTTATGTGATCTTGTAACAACCTGTACTTTTCTCCATCATCTCTAAAACTACTAGAACTGGCTGTGTGGCAACAATATCCCTTTTTATCCTCTTAATGGAGGAGCCACAACTGTTCACTACCGTATCAGTTCACCGCTACTCTTACTACAGTAGAGCTGCTTATCCAGGTGCCCCATGTCCTGCCTATACCATCAGAGTGCAGCAGGCTTCCCTCAATGGCAAACAAAACAAACAACACAATCAACAACTAGAAAAAATCCTTAACCAGCATTTACTGCATATAATGTGTAAGAAATTAAAGAGAGTCCTGTTCAATTTAAAAAAAAAAAAAGTTTTTTTCCTGCCCTTGGAAAAACCACATTCTATTTGGTGAGGTAGAAATATATACATAATACAAAGCAAACTGTAAGTGCTCTAATAAAAAAGTACTGTGAATCAGCAGAGAATAAAATAACGCTGTCTCAATAATGCAAGAAGACTTGTGCAGAGAAGGCAAAATGTAAAACTAGTATATTAAGTTTGGGAGGGGGAATGTATTCCAGAAAGGGATTTCTGAAATCTTGCTGTCTTTAGAGTTTAGAAAAAGAACTAAGTATATGGCATAGCTGTGAAGAAATGTTGACAGATAAGACAAAGGTTAAAGAAATTTTGTTTTGATGATGATAAAAGCTTGAGGCTGTTTATGTATTGTAGAGAAGCCTTAAGATGGAATCTTGGTGAATATTAATAATTAAGAGCTAAGGAGAAGGGTGCCTGGATGGCTCAGCTGGTTGGGTGTCTGCCTTCGGTTCAGGTCATGATCTTTGGGCCCTTGGATGGAGCCCTACATTTGGCTTCCTGCTCAGCATAGAGTCTGCTCCCCCAATCCTGCCCTCAAAAATAAATACAATCTTAAAAAAAAAAAAAAAAGAGTAGGGAGAAAAGGGCCATTTGAAGGAGAAAAGAGAAGGAGGGGTACATAGCAAACCTGGAATAGTAGTAGTATCATGGGCCACAGGGAAGAGAATTTCAAGGAGTTAATGGCTGGTAATATCAAATACTCAGAGACAAAGTAAATTAATGCAGAAAAATGACCACTGGATTTAACAAACAGTAGTGATGAGGAAAGGCAACTGTAGTAGAGTTCTGCAAGAAAGAGCCTGATAACAGTGAGATTAGGAGTATGCAATGAGGGAAACTTCACAGGTGACTACTACTACTCTTTGTTACCAAAAGGGATGGAATCAGAGTTCGTGCGAACAAGAAAAATCTTTTTACCTTTCTAGATGAGAGGACACAGAGTTTGAGGTTGAATGGTTCAATCTGGAGAGTGTAAGATAGTAGAGAAAGGATATAACTGAGGGATGAGATTCCTAAAAGTGGAACAGAATGAGCTTTAAAGCATCCACATTAAGACTGACCTATTGACAGCAAAAGACATATCTCCTTCACTAAGTGTGAAGATAGGTTTGAGAAAAGAGAATAAGGAAATTGAGGAGGTTCCCAATGTGGGAAGTTTGGTATGCAAGGGAACAATGAGGATGGGTCTCATAAAGGGCAACACAAAATGGTGTGGGGATAAATGCATGGGAGAATGGAGAGCCTCACATTTTGAATATGACTGGAGGGGAGCAGTGCTTTGAATTGTGTTGGAAATTATCAGCGTGATATTTCAAATAAAGCTCTGGTATAAAGTAGCTTATATTAGGGCAGGCTTAAGTGTAATGATCATATTATATTAGTCATTAGGGACTGATTTATAGTTACCAGTGCAGTATTGGCTGAAACTACTAGTGCAACAGACAATGCTTCTGCTAATTATTCTCTGCCACCTTTCAATATGGCTTTTATCTGCTCTTCAATCCAAAAAACTGAGAATAACAGGCTTCTCAAAGACTGACACTTTAACTGCTAATTCCAGTGGAAAATTTTCTATTTTACCTTTATACGGCATTTGACATTGCTAGCTTCATCTTTAAGCTTTTATAAAAATACCCTTGGATGGTACTTTAACCTGGCTATTCCTGCTTATTAGTTATATTTGTTAGACGAATAATACTGAAATGATACTCAGTATTATGCTAAAACAACAGCTTTCCTGAACCAAAGCCCAAGAAGTATTATCTATAGGTTCCAATCCAAATCTCAAAATTCCCTCCCCTCCAAGTTCTTTCCCTTGTAATTATTCCGTGTGAGCATGTCTAGCTAATATTAGTTCCCTTAAGAACAGGGACCTAACCTTAGTTGTGTTACCCTTCCTCTGAACCTAGAATACCACTTTTAAGAATAAGCAGTATTAAAATCATTTTCTGAATCATCTAAGAATGATGTGTGACTTTTTTTTCCTGTAATACATTTATTTTGAAAATAAGAATGTGCGCAATTAAAAAAAAGTAATTCAAGCCTTTAAGATAAATTCTGAAAATCAGAAAAAAATGTACTATACGCAGGTAATGGATATACAATCAAGAATAGTTGAATGTGAAAAAGTTACAAAGAGGAAGTAATGAGTAGGCAGTAAAAATGTCTTCTAGAACAGTATCTCTTTGTAAGGTTTTCTAATATATTTAATGTTAGACATTCAAGTATCTTTTTTCAAGTATCTTTTATTGAGCAAGCAGCAAAATGAACTTTTAAATCTAGGGTGGATACTTAAGAGAAATTCCTAAATGTAATCCTTATTATAAGAAATATAGTTACTTATTCATTACCTCTTCAAAGGAATCTTACCCTTCCATATGTTAATGACAACCCCAAAGACAAACCTTTTTAACACTTCTGCAGGAAAAAATCCTCAGCTTTTCACATGCTTCTGTGACTCGTCTTTCCAGGATGCAACATAGGACAGTGGAACAGATCACGCAAATGGCCCCTCTCTACTTGTTTGTGCAAATTTACCAGAATCAAATTTTTAAAGTGAAATATGAAAAGTGGAATGGCAGCGGTTCTAAGTAATCCTCCTTGTCCCTGAGTGCTGAATTATAAATTAGCTTTAAAATTGGCTGGGTGATAAGAGAGGGGTATAATAAAGAATATCTCGTTTTTGTCCATGTTTCTGGGCAGAGCTTCAAAAATCCTTGGAATTTCCAGATTGATTAGGAGTCTCTTTGTTATGCTAATGTAACAATTCATTCTGGGCTTCTGGATGGGGGCTGGTCACCGGAAGGACTAATCATTTGCTTAGAGGGTTGGAATTTTGGGCCAGATCAAACTCCCAGGAGGGGTGTAAGGCTCAAGACTGGGCTCAACCACACAGTCACCCAATCGTAATCCATAATGCCTCATAATAAAATCCCAAATACAAACTCTGAACATCAATTTCAGTGAAGCTTCCTAACCAGTGAACAAACGTGTGCTGGGAGTATGAACTGCCAGGATTCCACACAGAGGGTATCCCTCTCCTGCCTCTAGAGTTTGGCCACCGTGTGCCTTACATTTGGCTGTTTTGAGTCTTATATCCTTTATATTAAAACCATAA